GGGGGGGGTCTGAGTAAAAGCATTGTTCCTGAAACAGCCAGGCTCTGCAATGCAATTAGACTAGTCTGCTCCTTGCAAAATCTTGTTAGTGAAAAGTGGTCCTGGCATGCAGCAGATGTTGTATCTGACATGCTTATTTTCTCCCCGTTAGCTTTTTCCCTCCCCACAGCTGGCTTGACATGATCCAGATCCCCAGTGAATCTAAAGCTCAGAAATCTGCACTGGGAAATCTGTCACCAATTATAAAGCCAATTAGAGAGTGATTTGCTCATTACTACCCTGTGTGGAATTGGACTAGCTGGAGAAGACAAGGGTGATATTTTCTGGTTTAAATGCATTTGGAAGGAAATTGTGTGTGTTGGGGAAGAGAGTACCAAAGGGGAGAGCAGAGGAGAAGCCTGCATGCTTTTTGGTGGGAAGCAAAATTACACCATCAAGTGCAAGATAAGTGCACTGACTGGGTCTTTTTTTCCATAGTGGACTTCAATAACCCAAAGCTCCCAGCAAACTGACTTGTTCTGGGCTCCCATAAGCCAGACCTGGTACCTCTGCAATCAGCCTCTCATCGACAGGGATCTCAAAGTCCTCTCCCAGTCCCGGCTCTGATTTCCACTTCTGTCCCACATCCCTTGCAGGAGGAAGGATGTGGGAAGGAGTATATGAATCACCAGAACTTTGAATCACTAGTTTGGCCATCCCTGTGCTATTAGGCTATAACTGTCTATAGGACAATCCATACAGGCTTTCTCTAAGTTGTATTTTGTAGCCTGGAGCTCAGCAGCCATTTCAGCAGCCACTTTTAGGGAGGGCAAATCAGCTCTGATGGTGCTTAGGATCTTTGGGATACTCTAAGACAGGTTCTCCTTGCAGGTGAAGAGGCATACATGGCTCCCTTGGCCAAGGTAGAGTCAAGAGCAACACATTGAAGCCATAGCTTCCCTACAGCCGTAGCTTTTGGCTGTCCCCCCCTTATTCCTTGCCGTTCACTGTCTATGTCCAGACTAGGAGCAGCCATGACCCAGGAGCTGGCTGTGGTGAGACGAAGGACAGGATGGACTCACTGTTTGCTGAAGCCTCGGGGCAGTTTCAGCTGGTTCTGTGGTGGCTGATGCCTGAACCCAGAAGGCCCCCAGGGTGTGTGTGGGTGTGCGTGTTTGTGTGCTGCCCTCTTCTCTCGGGGTTGTGGTGCTGGGAGGGTGACGTGGTGTTTGCTTTTTGGAGAAGCGCCCGCCTGGGTAAATGTTACTCCTCACCTGGTTTCTGTCTGCTGCATGGGAGGGAGGGGAGGAAACCAAGGTGATGACCTTCTATGATCAGAGCATCTCTGCTTCTCTCCTCCCCTTGCACATACAGACCCCAGGCCCTGTCATTCAGTCTGGCTGCAGAACAAGCTCTTTATCTCTTCCAACTCTGTCCACAGGAAAAGGAAAACCAAGTTCAATGCTTTTCTTGGCTCTTTTTGACCTCGTTCCCACTGGTCTCTAGTTCATCACCCACCTCTGCATGGGGACATGGTGCTTCATGGCTCTGAGTGTGCTTTGAGCCCTGAAGGAGCTGCATCACACACCGGGGCCCCACTGTGCTCCGTGCAATCCTGGGGGCATTGCAGCCTTGCTGAAACAGTGCCTTGGTCCCTAGCTCCCACCTCAGTACAGGCAGAACACCCAGGGAATGTCATCCCTGCGGACTGAAGGCCACGCAGTCTAGACCAGGGCCAAAATGTGAGTGGGAGCTCAGCAGCTTCAGTGGGGACTGAAGAATCCAAGTAATTTAATATTGGGAAGCTCCAGTCTAAGGGATTTGGGAAACCTTCTTGGGAGGTTTTGCTGGGGAGACTGACCCACGGATGAGTCTTACCCTGATGGGAGCAGCTCCGCAGCGTTAGAGCAAGAAGGCAACACTGCCTTCTCCTGTGTGAGTGCAGTGAAGGGCCATGAAGATCATTAAGGGACTGGAGCATCTGACATAAGGAGAGGCTGAGAGAGCTGAGACTCTTCAGTCTGGAGAAGAGAAAGCTCAAGGGGGATCTTAACGATGCGCATAAATACCTGATGGCAGGGAATGAAGGAGACAGAGACAGATTTCTCAGTGGTGCCCAATGACAGGACAAGAGACAGTGAGCACAAATTGAAAAACAGGAAATTCCATTTAAACATGAGAAAATACTTTTTTACTGTGAGGGTGATCCAAACACTGGCACAGGTTGCCCAGAGAGGTTGTGGAGACCCTGGAGATATTCAAAACCTGACTGAACATGGTCCTGGGCAACCTGCTCTAGCTGACCCTGCTTTGAGTAGGTGGGATGGACTGGATGATCTCCAGAAGTTCCTTCTAACTGCATTGATTTGGTGATTCTGTGCTTAGGATCACTGGAAGTCCCCTGGGACCAAGCTCAGTCCTAGAGCTTGAGGGTGCTGCGTGGAAGTGTGGCAGCCCCTCTCTGCCCTTCAGGGTTGACTCCTGGGAAGACTCACTGAGCACTTTGGGATTTGCACAAGTTTTATGCAGAGCTCACGTGGCGTTTCCTTCCAGCCAGGCCTGTATATCGTGCTGGGCTGATCCTTGTGCAAAGCATCACTCCTTCTCCAAGGCCTGATGCATCTCCAGGCACCAGGCGTGCAAGATCCTTGGTCAAGGGAGAGGCTGTCACCCCCTGCCCCAGCAGAGGATTGTGGCATTTAGCACCCTTCGTGCTCTTAGGGAACTTCCAATTCAGCTGCAAACTGCCATAGGGTTTTGCACATTATGAGGGAAGGAAGTTAAAAAGTCCATGGGCTGCTAAGTTGTAGAGCAAGTGCGTGCTTTCAGCCACTACCATGCTGGACCAAAAGCACCTTGAAAGGCCACATCCAAGTGTACACCTGAATGGGAAACGCCTGCTGCAGCATCTGAAGAGCTGCCTGAATGAATCCTTCAAGAACGATATGCCCTTAGGGACCTATCTGCATTAGTGGGTAGAGAAGCTGAGTCAAATGAGAACTGTGTTTTGCAGAGGGAGCCTGCCCTGGCATGAGCGTTTCCAGCTGTGGCACCTTTGTTGCTGCCTTGGGTCCAAAAGAGTAGGGTCTAATGAGCTGCAACCCTCATCTGTGCCAGGGCAGGCTGCTCCTTTGATGAGTACATAGGGCTTCCCTCTAAAAATGAGAAACCATGGGGGTTTTATTTGCAAACTCTTTCCTGGTGATGGGGAAATCACAGCTAACTGGCAGCTCTGCTAGTAGGAAAGGTCCCTGAGCGTCTGACACCCTCTACCCTTTGCTAATTTCTGCCAAGCAGGATATGTTTTTCATGCTTTCATGTTCTCCCCTGTCTATGTAATCCCAAGCAACTCCTTTTTTGTACACTGCAGATTCACCTAAGGGTAGAAAGGGCAGCTGTGGTCCTCAAATGGGGCAAACATTGTGCCTCTACCCCCTAGAGCAGGATTACTAAGAGCTGATCTTGCAGACATCACCAACAGACAGGACGGACTCATCCCCTGCTGCTGGGTGCTTCCTCGGTGGGATGAAACAGGAGTTAAATCCCACTGCTCCTTTCCCATCCCCGTCTGCACTCAGCGATGCTGAGAAGCGCAGGTGGCTCTTGCTTTGGTGGCTGTCAGCTTGCCTCCCTCTAGCGCTTATCCCAACCTCCTGCAATGCCTGCGGCTGGGAAGGGATTAGTCCTCTCCGTTGCGTTTGATCCCTGCCCAGTTTGTGTCTGGTTGATGCTAAGGTTATTTTTCAGGTGTACAGTGCTGGCTGGGTTAGATGGGAATAGCAGGAGGTGCTTACGAAGCAGCGATTCCTTTTCCTCCCCGTGATGGGCAGAGGCAATGCAAGTCCTCATGTGCAAAGTTTGGGGGGCACATGTTATTCTGGGTGCAGCCAGCCTGAAAAACTGGGAGGTGTGGGGGAAGAAGGAAAATCTGCTTTTCCTTTCTCCCCTTCAAATTAAACATAATAACAAAGGGGAAAAGATTCTTTCAGCTCTTTGTCTGTCCTAGCCTCCAGCTGGACAAGACCTTCCAAACTGGATTGATCAGGAGAAAAGATAAAAAAAAAAAGAAAGCAGTGTTTCACATGAAGCTCGTTCAACACCTTCTGTTATTAAAGTGCTTTCTTGGCCAGGCTGTAAGTGGGAGTGGGAAGAAGGGAGGGCAGCCTGGCAGGAGCCGGACAGAGGAAAGGCGATGTGGTTGGTGCCCGAGTGGTTGGAGGGACGAGCTCACCTCCTAGCTGGCTCCTACCCAAATTTTTCCATTCATGGTGCCCATGCACAATCCACCATGCTGGTTTTGGTGACGGAATGAGCATTTAATCCTGTCCCAGCTGCAAAGCTTTTGGCTCACCGAATTTTCTCCATCTGCTGTGCTAAGATCGGGAAGGACAGACCTCCTAGGGGAGGACACTTTGCTTCTTGCAACCATGGCTGAGCCCTCCATCTGTGTTAAGTTTTCCTGGGTGAACTGTCTGATTTAGGCACTGCGATTCCTCATCTAAATGCCTGGCTCTGCCCTGCTCCTGCAAAGTTTTATTTTCGGATGGACCCACAAGTTCCTCTATGGGAGACAGTGGGTTTGGGTGATGCTCTCATGCTCTCCAGAGCAAAATAAGAGAGGGAGAAGCTTGTAAAGCAGTCACGGAGTAGAGAGAGCTGAAGGCCTTATGAGAAATAACAAAGAGTGGACTTAGAAGAGGGGATGGGTCACTAGGGCTGTAATGGTGTGAAAACACACCGTTATCACCAGGGATAATTATAGCAAAGCTGTGCTGATGCTGGAACACAATAGGTCTGGTGTCACTTCGGCAGTGATGCTGCCCATGTCCTGGTGAGAGCAGAAGGCAGGACAGGGTCCTCATGCCACCGGTGTGATGAGCAAGGCCAGCAGAAAGCTGCAGATGGGATTTAAATGGAGCCTGAGGAAGAGAGGAAGAGATTTTCCCTTGCCCAGAAGCCTTGCTCCTGATTTCCTTGTCTCCTCGCTTACCCAGTGTGTCTGTTTTTCTCCTATCCCACAGGAAATCTGCGACGATCCACATCTCTTTGTGGACGGGATCAGCTCCCATGACTTACACCAGGGCCAGGTTGGGAACTGCTGGTTCGTGGCTGCCTGCTCCTCCCTGGCGTCCCGGGAGTCTCTGTGGCAGAAGGTAAGTGGTTCCCCATGCCAAGGGGAAGCCTGTCTTCAACACCTTGGCTTTGCATTGTGTTTGTCTGGCTCACAAACTGGTTCTTCAGGGATGCCTCAGGTCCTGAAAAACTGTTCATGTGCAAAAACCTCCCTTAAAGGACTATTTTTCAAGGGGAATTAGTCATCGTGACTGCAGTCACATCACACTCAAGCCAAACCCTTGGCCAGTTTCTCCTTAACCAAGTGGATCAAGTCCCATCCTGTCCTCCAGATCCTGAATCTGACCCTCCCCACTCCAAAATAACCTAAAAAACAACAAGAAGAACCAAATTCAGGATGCTCAGCTGCAGTGTTTGGCCCTGTTTCCCTAGTTCCTATAGTGTTACCTCTCTTTGGCTGCTCAGTGTGTGCCCACCTTGGCAATGAGACACCTTGCACTGGGAGAGATAGGGGGATTTGAGGGTGTTAGTATCTCTCCCAAGCCACTGTTTCCCCAAAGCGTCCATCCCTGGCATGTCCAGTGGCTTGATTGCACCATGTAGCAGTGTTCCTTCGAGTGTGGGGTCCAAAGGGACTGTGTTGTGGGCCAGAAAGCCGCCAAGAAATTGGACTAGAGCGAGGGGCTGCAGACCCAGGGAGCAACCACAGAGGTACAGGGGGGAAGGAGGTGCTCAGTGCCACATCCTTGGACAGCCCGTGCCCATCTCCACCATGTCCTCAGCTACAGAAGAAGTCAGTCCTGTGAAGGCCAAGGCAGGGGGGCTTCAGACCCTGGTACAGGTGTGCCTCATTGTAGCACAAGAGACCAGCAAGTTGCAAGCACCTTTTCCTAGATTTTACTGCAAAAGGCAGCCACCAAAGTCCTACAGTGTGTGCAGACAGCATCACCCGCTTCACCCACAGCCTCCTACTGCAATGGACCCAAAAGGGGTCCCTCCACCCTACGACTTTGCATCTGCTCTGTGTGCTGTGGTACTTCTAGTTTCTGCTGCATGTGCTTTTTGTGATCACGAACACTAAGCTCAGGAATTTGTGTTTGTTGCAGCATCCCCATTTTCTGTTAAAATCAAGGTTTTTCTTCATATGGGAACAGGGTAGCTGTTGTTGGCTTCTGGATAAGCACTCAGGTTTCCTCCCATCGTGGCTTTGGTGACTGTTGTGGCTCTCGTTACAGGTGTGGTGCAAGGGGTTGTTTAGCTTGTTCCTCTGCATCAACGTCTCCCAAGGGCAAGGAGGCGAGTTGTCTTCCCTCCTCACCATTCACTTCCAGCCCTGCCCTGGGAAATGCCAACCGAACAGAAGCTGGGTCCAAAGGGACACCTCATTATTTCAGTTTGCCAATGGCATTGCTTTTCCTCCCTTGGCAATTTGGTTGTGGGTGTTTGTGACTTCTCATTTTCCATGCCCTTAACTCTCAGAGGCTCTTTACCTCCCTACTCTTTCTTTCAAAAAGGTTTGTTTTCTGGCAAAAACAAAAGCTGCAGCCATCTCCCCAAGTCTTCCTTCCCAGTTGTTTGCCGTGGTGTTCACTACAGGGCTCTGGTCAGACATGCTTCAGCACACCCCTGCTTTTGGACACCTCTAAATTGGATGGGACCTTTGCTCAGCCTTTGCAGGGTGCTTTGAGGGCTTATGATGAATTGCAAGAAGTGTGGCTATAAACTGCAGCAGCAATTTTTAAAGCAAAATGGGAGACATCAAGTGCACAGATTAACCCCTTGGTCCAAAGAGACACCAGCTCTGCTGGATGTGCTGGGATTAGACCATTCTTGCCGAAGATCTCAGACCCCTTTGTTGGCCCAGAAATAATGGACCGCTTGGTCCTTGGTACAGTCACACGTGCAATTGTGGTAACATTGCTGGAGGTACCTGTTGCTTCTTGGCCCTTGAGCATCTCCACACATAGGGCCCAATGCCTGCAGGGCAAACCTCTGCTCCTGACTGGTCAATATGCTGATGTAAACAACAGTTGAGAAGACAGAAAAGGCAGCAGAACACTAGGTTTTTAAACCTAGTTTAAAACCTAGTTTTAGTGTCATTAGACACAAGAATGTTTCTGATGCAGCATCCAGGAGGACCTGAAAGATGCTGATGCAGGTTTTAGTATCACTGAAATATCAGTACAGGGATCTTGGCCCAGGTCTCCCATTGCTGCTAGAAAATGTAATCCTGATTTACACCAGGATGTAACTTAGGCTCTGCGTGTCCCTTGCTCCACTTCATACAATGAAACTGTCTCTCTCAAGTGTGGGGAGGGGGAATACCTTCAAGGGAGGAGGACATGCCAGCCACATTCTTGTGTATCCAGAGAGATGGTTTTATTCACATGGTTTCTTCCACCTCGTTCCAAGGCTCCCTCCATGTCCCTCCTTCCCATTAAGCCTGTGATGTTTGAGTCACTGAGTGGGAATGGGGGACTGGAAGTTAATTTAGAGCTGTTTTCTATTTTCCTGACTCATGGCTGGCCCTACATGACTTAAGGTGTGAGATCTGGCTCTATAACATCCTTTCTATGACCTTTCAGAGGTGTCTAGCTCTTATGAAAAGAAATCAAGGCATTGAAATGGGGGTGTTGAAATAATTACGAGCAGTGCTTTGTCTGGATCTATAACCTGTGCTCCCACAGGTTGCATTGGTATTGCTCAACAAATGAAGGACAGGGGCCAGACTCTGAAGCCAAGTGGTTCAGACAACTGAAGCCAAGTGGCTCTTGACTCTCTCCTCAGGGTCTTTAGGAGTAACAGCAGCCGGGTGACTGCAGGACAATTCCCAGGAAAATGATCCACCTTGGGCCCCTGGTGTCTGTGGTTTGTCTGGCCAAGGCCAGCTTCTGATGGTCTTTTTTGGGACTTCTTCTGGAAGTCAAAGCGATAGACTCCAGGGATCATTATGGGTGGTTGTGAGTCAAGTGTGACACAGTCCAGGTGACGGCACAGCCTTTTGTAAAAATATTTTAGAAAAACTGTTTCCTGGAGTTCATTTAACACAGTTTGAGCTCCCAGAGTGCCCTGCAAACATGGCATGTGGCAGAAGCCAACTTGAGTCACAGATAGGATGGAGAGAACCCAAACGACTTGACTCCACCCAATGTCTAAAGCTTTGTGCTGAAACCCCTGCATTCTCCAAGTGTCCAAACCAGTGACTACATCCCAAAGATACCATAGTGCGCTTGTAGAAGTCAGGCCTTTTCCATGGTACACCTAAAACTGTAGCTGTGGTTTAGCTGTTGTGTCATGGGGCCACTTGGCAGAAGGGGGCATGGGATCCACAGCCTCATGGAGCCACCCCGCATCCTGCAAAGAGACACGTGTTCACCACTGTCCCCCTTTATCCCATCCACTGTCTGGACAACCCACCAGCACAGCACCAATGCTCCGGATTTAATCATGCACAGCAGTTGCTGGAGAATGAGCGGTTCCAGGTTGGACACGATGCTCTTGCTGGTGCTCATGTGGTCTCAGAGCATCTCTACAGTGCCTGGAAAGAGGTTGTTTGGGTTGCTTGCATCTTGGACCTGCTTTTCCACCTGGCCCAAAGAGACAAGCATTAAGGTGCAGACTGTGCCTGAGATCCCCTTTCCCAGGCGCTCTAAGGCGAAGGCCACATGTGAGCACCCTCTCCAACATCGGGCCAGTTTGTTCGAGGGCAGGCAGACCCACACTGAGGTGCTGGCATCCACCTGCTGCTGCAGCAGCAGTATGGAGCCTGACTCCTGCCAGCTGTGCCATCCAGAAAAAGACACGGGTTCCTGAGGAACAAGTTGACTATGAGTCAAACATGTACCATTGCAGAGATGGGGGCCAAACTAACATGAGTGCAGCCAGCAGGGCGAGGGAAATTATTCTTTCCCTCTGTCTGGTGTTTGTTAATCCCCATCTGGGCACTGTTTTGGGGTCACCAGAAGAAGCAGATGGAAGCGAGTCTGATGGAAGCCACCAAGATGGTCTGGAGCACAGGACATTCAAGGAGAGGCTGAGAGAGCTGGGTTTGTGTGACCAGGAGGAGGGAAGGCAAAGGGGGAGTTTATTGCTGTCTGCAGGTACCTAAAGGGAGGGTGTGGACAAGATGGACCCAGACTCTTGCTGGGGATGCGCAGTCACAGGACAAAAGACAACATCACAAGCTCCAGCTTATCTTCAGCATTAGCGTGGTCAGACAATGGAACAGGGGCTGTGGGATCTCCATCCATGGAGATACTCAAAGAAGGACTGGACAAAGCCCCGAGCAACCTGATTTAACCTTGAAGTAAGTCCTGCTTTGAGCAGCAGGTTGGACCAGACCCCTCCAGAGTCTCCTTCCAACCTGAATTATCCCATGAGCCTACCTCAGAGAAAGCCACTGCCACCCAGACCTGTTGGGTGGCATCCCTGGCTGCAAGCCTTCATTTCGGAATAACGAGCTGCGGTTGTCAGGGAGGTTGCCAGGGAGGCTGACATCAGACATCCCTTCCCTATAGATTATCGTGCAGAGCATCATCAGTTCCTGATCTGCAAACGAGGAGGGAGGGCACCCAGAGGAAGGGTGTTTTGCGTCGCTGGCCTGGGTTGCCTAACACTATTGGGACCACGGAGAGGGTGCACCAGCTCCAGGGGCTTGGAGGCTTTTTCCCCCTCTGTGTCTTGTTTGAGAGCAAAACGTTGCTGAGGAAGGAAGAGAGGAGCAACTGAGGTGATGGCAGCCGAGGCAGGGATGCTCCAGCTGCCCTTCGTCCACGATGACCAGCTCACCCGGCGCATGCGGCTGCGATTCCAGAGCCTGCAGCAAAAAAATGTGAGGCCCCAGGATGGTGAGAAGCTGCTGCGTCCCAATGAGCACATCTACCGAGTGGATTTCATCCGGCAGCACAACCTGCGCTTCCTCCGCTGGGACATGCAGCTGGAGAGACCTGGGAAGGTCACGGTGACCGGCACCTCCCAGCACTGGACTCCTGATCTCACCCACCTTATGAACCGGCAGCTGCTGGAGCCGGTGGGCATCTTCTGGAAGAAGCCAGGGGCCAAGGAGGTGGAGTGCAACGAGGCAGATGCCCAGGAATTTGGGGAGCGGATAGCGGAGTTAGCCCGGATCCGCAAGGTGATGTATTTCCTCCTCGCTTTCACTGACAGCCTTGAACCAGCTCAGCTGAAGGGCTCCATCATTTTTAAAGCCTGATCCCCTCTTGCTCAGCCCTTCTTGCTCCAGCTGTGCTTTTGCCTTTGTTTTTCTTTCTCTCAGTTCAGTTCTTGGTTCATTTTTATGTGGTTCTTTTTTTTTTTATGAGGGACGGCATCGCAGAAAAATGGAGGACAGCTCAGTGCTTCTGGAGGCCCTCAGCCCTGCGAAATGCTCCCCATACCTGCTGTCCTCTGTCTGAATGATGGGGAGGAGGGGGCCATGAACTTGCTGCTGTATTTGCCTAAACCATGAGACTGCATGCTTGTGAATTCATCGGGGATTCACCATGTCTGACTGGTGCAGGGTCTTGCTGTCTTGGAAATCTGAGGCTGCCCTAAGCCCTCCAACTGTGGCAACTGCATACCAAAAGCTTGATGGAAAAATAAGAAATTGCCATACTAGAAACAGGAGAGACAACCTGGAGAGAGTCCTGGCTTCCAGCTTCCATCCTAGCCATTAAAAAGGGAGGGCTTGTTTGCAATGGAATGCTTCTCCTTGCTGCAACTGTGGGCTGCTTGGTGTCTGTGAAGACCAGTGCCATGGAGGATCACCTTGCTGTGAAGCTGAAGTACATGTGGACATGCCGTATTCTGCAGATTGCAAACTCGCTGGACAAACTGGTGCAGGGAGGTTGGAATACCCTATTCCTGACAGCTGTCACCATTTCTTGCTGGGGGTCACTATGGGGAGGTGTACTCCAGCACATTACTCACCTTGTGCTGCCTGGAGATTGTTGCTCCTGCGATGGTTTGGAGCAGGCGTGCGTGTGTGTGCAGAGCTGGGCAAGCGAGCCAGCAGCTCAGAGCAGGCTGTAGGTCTGAGCCAGCATTGCATCCCCTGCGGCAAAAACAATTTGTGCATTGTTGTGGCCTTAAAGCACCCATGAATATATTTATTCTGAAGCATCTATAGAGAGCCGTGAGGCTGCAGAGCACTTTGCAAACCACAGAGCAGGAACCTGCTGCTGCTGTCCCCAAAAAGCAGTATCTCCTGCCCTGTGCAAATGCTGAGGCAGGGAGCAGCGTCTGGGTGGCCATGGGAGCAGAGAGGGGAGATGGTACCTTTGCAAGTTTAGGAGCAGGAGGGTGTTTTGTGCCTGGCTTGTCCCGTGACTGTGAATAAACTACTAAGTTTGGACGTTCCCTTTTCCTCCACCAAAAAGCGTAGGGTACTTTGGTGAAGCTTCTTGGGACTCACAGATAGAAATGTCCTTTCCAAGAGTCAGGTATTATTGCAATTGGTCCTTTGGTAAGATTGCACTCAAATGTGGGTGAGCGCTTCTCAAGGTATGGCCTGAGATTTTCCTGACGTGTAAGGAGAGGGCAGTGATGGGAAAGCCAAGACAAGGTGACTTTGTACCCATGGCCTGCTGACTTGTGCGGACCATCCCAAAAAGAGTCTAACGTCTTCTTCAAAGCCTCCAGAGATGCAGCCTCCATGCCTGCCCCAGCCCAATAACAGTGTGTAAAATGATTTGCACAAGCTATAGCAGGCAGAGAGGGGAAGGAAATCAGGAAGATCAGCTACTGGCTGGTGAGATGGTGGGAGCTTTGAGTCTTGCCCACAGCCAAAGCTCAGCAACCACCGAATCATACAGCCATGCCATGAGCGCTGCTGGAGAAGTTGATGTCTTTGCTTAGACCCCAAGAAACGCTGGACTCAATGAAGAGAGATAAAAGTGGATCCATCCCTGCTTGGCCATGGCATGGACCCACTGTGAGCCAGACCCACTTCCAGGGTCCTGGCAAACTTTCCCATAGGACACCCCTCCATATACATCCCAGCGCAGAGCTCCTGACTACAAATCACATTAAACCCAACAACAGGAGCCAGCACTAACTTCCAAAGGGGTTTTTGCATGCCAGGTCTCACAATATGCCATTGCTACGTTGTTGGGTTAGAGTTCTTGCTGCAGGTACCTCCCTGGGTATTGATGTACCACAGTAAATAAAAGTCTAGTCAACAGGGTTCCCCTTAAGGACTGAGGCTGTGAGTGTCTTCTTCATGCCCTTTTGGAAGCTGCCCCAATCCTTCAGACAATAAAAAAGCACCCACCAATTTTCAAGTCACTGTTGGGATTTTTTGAGCACCTTTTTATCTCCTGTAAAAAGTAAAATGAACATTTACCTTCTTTGCTCTTGGTGTGAAAGGTTTAATGGAGCATTTAGCAGTTTGTGTGGTTTCGGGAGGGGTTTGAAGCTGGGCAGAGGAGGGGAAATGATCCTCAGGTGGATCCTCAGGTGGATCCATCAGAGCTGGGGGTGGGAGGTGAGTGGGGCAGTGTGATCTCTCTCTGCTGCAGGGAAGATGAGCCTCTTTATACCAGTCACTGAAACTCTCCCTATACAATTTCAGCATCCCATAAAGGCTTTCAGATACACCGCTCTATCCTATCTCCCAGGGGAATTTCATCCTGGTTTGTACCATGGTTCAGC